GATTAAGGCAGTGTGAGGACCTTGGTAAAATGGGAGTCTTGAGGGCTTTGTCAGGGGTGAGATGAGGCTCCAGGGATGCAGGGTTGGGTTATGTGGAGAAGCCCGAGCCCAGCAGAGCGATCAGGAACAAGGCCTGGAAAGTCCTTCTTCCTTTCCCAGATAGGGGGCTATACGTGGTTCAGAGCTAGTGCGCAGGAGGCCAGCCACCGCAGGCGGGGGGAGGGGGGGGAACGCCAACGTGTCTGTGTCCATGCACTGCCCCCAGGAGTCTCCTAAACAAGCCCAAGAGCGAGATGACCCCTGAGGAGCTGCAGAAGCGGGAAGAGGAGGAGTTCAACACCGGACCCCTGTCGGTGCTCACCCAGTCGGTGAAGAACAACACCCAAGTTCTTATCAATTGCCGAAACAACAAGAAACTTCTGGGACGAGTGAAGGCCTTTGACAGGTGGGTGATGGCCCTCCCTGGCTGCCACTTGTGGGGGGGGCAGGGTGGGTCCTCTCCCGGGAAGGACAGTTCTGTGACCCTGACCGTGGGCAGGGGTGAAAGGGACTCTGGCATTGCAAAGGGGAGGGCCCAGCTCTCTGCTGCCTTCCTTTTCTTTCTGGGGCTTCCTTTAAGGGCATCAGGGTAGGCTTAGCCAGTTTTTCTGCTCATCCCCTGCCCCTCCTGGCCCCAGGCACTGCAACATGGTCTTGGAGAATGTGAAGGAGATGTGGACGGAGGTACCCAAAAGTGGCAAAGGCAAGAAAAAGTCAAAACCAGTGAACAAAGATCGTTACATTTCCAAGATGTTCCTGAGGGGGGATTCGGTCATCGTGGTCCTCAGGAATCCACTCATTGCTGGCAAGTAGCGGAGCCAGAGCCTCCCCTCCCACCCCCATACTTGGCTCAGCCCAATAAGGCTGAGGGGTCCACTAGTTTTACCTTTTGTGAATAAAACCTTGCTGTTTTTTCTTCCCCAGTCTGGTTCTTGTGGCCCAAGTTGGGCTGAGTAAACAGGTGGCCACAGAGAGGGTGCGTGGTGGGGTTGGGGTAAGAATGGCGGATGAGGCAAGGGTGGGATTAGAGCACAGAAGAGGGCGACAGAGCCCCTGGGGTTGGGGCAGAGGTGTGGTGGACAGCAGTTGAGGTGAAGCAGACCTAGTACTCAGGCTGGTTGCCCCAAAACACACACACACACACACACACACACACACACACACACACACACACA